GTTCAATTTCCCATACCACAATGAAGAAGGAGGGACTGGCAACTTAAAACTGTTCCCTAATGGCAATTTAAAAATATTCCATGGCCAGGGTTATAGCTCAATGGTAGAATGCTTACCTAGCATGCGTGAGGCACCGGGTTCGATCCCCAGAACGACATAAAAAAAATAAACCAATAAAATAAAGGCACTGTGTCCATCTACAACTAAAAGTATACATTTTTAAAACAAATAAAATAAAAATATTCCATAATGTGTTTATGCCATAATATATTGTACCCACTACTCTACTATAATACAATCAGGTTGTTTTCTATATCTAGTCATTTTTAAAATGCTACAAATGGGCTGGGGTTGTAGCTGGTAAAATGCTTGCCTCACACATGTTCCATCCTCAGAACCACATAAAAATAAATAAAATAAAGGTATGCATCCATCTACAACTTTTAAAAAATGCTACAATATTTTTTTTAAATCTTCAAAGATCATTCATTAAGATAATGCTCTACACCCTCCCTCATACACACATATAGGGGCAGATAGTGATAGTTATGTGTGTGTGTGTGTGTGCACGCGCACGCACACACACACACACACACACACACACACACACAAAGTTCTTAAACCTTAAGCAGTTAAGAAAAAGAAACTACCAGATATCAAAGAAAGCCCTCTAATGTGAAGGACTAAAATTTGAAAAAATAAGTTGAAGGAAAAAATAGCTTCAATAATTATTAATATCCTCAGGCAAATAAGACATTATTATATCTATGAGACAAGTTTAGGATATCATTAATGGGGGGGAAAAGAACATCAGGAAACAATAAGGAACTGCTAAAATTAAAACTGGAAGTAGAATTTTAAAAACCACTGTATGTATTGAATGATAAAAATTGAGGATATATACTGTGTTTCATAACTGAACTTATAGCCAACAGCACTATAACTCATGTCTGAATGAAGTTTTTACTTAACATACCTTTTCTCCATAAAGTACATCACAGTTTCTTGCACTTTAGGAACATTTGACAGCATTACACTTAAGGATCATTTCAAATAGTGAAATCATCAAGAAAAAACATGAAAATGCAAAAAATGTGGCACTAAATAGACTGCAAAAAGAACACATTGATAGTCTTAAGAACTAAAACAGAGGGTACAGCATCACTCTGCTCAGCCTCACCTGGGGAATGTGCACATCAGACAACTCAAAAAATCTTTGCCTAAGCATGTTCCCTAATGATCACAAGAACCAAAAGTACTAATTTTAGGTTTCTAAATAAATTTTAGCAAATAGGCAAATTTGCAAATGCTAAATTTACAAATAATAAGGATCAACTGTACATATAAACCTATCTTTACAAAATTACTTACATCCAAACTATCTATATCTATGCATACATGTCAGAAATAATCACCTGACTAATGTCCATTAAGTTATTTCTAAGGTAATGGATTTTGCATGGTATTCTTTTTTACTTTCTTCTTTGTGCTATATTTATTTATTGGTAATGGGTACTAGGGATTGAACTCAGGACATTATGCAGGCTTCTACCACTGAACTACATCTCTGGCCCTTTTTTAACTTTAGTTTGAGACAGGGTCTCACTAAGTTGTTCAGGTTGGCCTTAAACTTGCAATCCTCCTTGCCTCAGCCTCCCAAGCAGCTGGGATTACAGATGTGTGTCACCATGTCCAGTCTTAATACATTTTTTTTAAGTTGAAGCTATATCATTTTTATTAAGAATAAATATTATATCAATATTATATTTTTCTGTAACATGTTCATCTCAGAGCTTTAAAAAAGTTCAATAGTTCTTTCTTTTTCTATGTAGGAAAATACACATTTATATGCTAGTATTCAAAGATATGATATCGTTAGTCATAACAGTAAACTATATAATAATGAGAATATAACCACTGACTCTGAAAAACATTATTTTGCTATATTAGGCTCCTAAAAGAAAAACTGACATTAATGAATCCTTATTGTCAAAAATGTCATTATTTGATTAACATTATTTTTGCACAGTTGTACTTATTTTGAATCTAAGTTTATCAACCCTAACACTATTGACATTTTGGGAAAGGCAATTTTTTTTGTGTGGAGACTACCTTTGTATTGTGGGATGGATAGTATAATGCCTGGCTTCTTCCCACTAGAGGCCAGTAGCACGCGCCATCCCTCCAAGTTGTGGCAACCAAAAATATCTCTAGATTACCACGTTTCAAGTGGGGGGCAAAACAGTGAGTACCACTGTTTTAAATAAGTTACTTAAATCCAGATGGATTATAATAGACTCTTTTAAAAATTCTACTTGAGGGCAGGGGTTGTGGCTCAGTGGTAGAGCGCTCACCTAGCATGTGTGAGGTCCTGGGTTCGATGCTCAACACCACATATAAATAAATAAAATAAAGATATTGTGCCCAGCTAAAAAATAAATATTTTAAAAAAAATTCTACTTGAATAAAACATCTCAGATATAGGATCCAACGAATAAACCAGCTCTGACTCTAATTGAGTATCAATGAGGGGACATAAAATTCAGACCGGCAACCAAAATATGTAAGTATAAACCCTACTGTTTCAGTTAAGTTTGCATCACTGTGACCAAAATACCTGACAAAAACAACTTAGAGGAGGGAAAATTTATTTGATGATAACAGTTTCATTGGTCTCAAATTCAAAATAAAAAATAAAAGCTCAGTGGTAAAGAGGTGGTCCTGGTTGTTAAATCCTCAATACAAAACATATATATATATATATTAAAAAATACACACACACACATATGAATATATTCATAGCCACATTAGTCACAATAACCCAAAAGTAGAAACAACACCAATATCCATCAAATCATGAAAGAATAAACAAAATGTGGTATAGAAATGTAATGAAATATTATTTGGCAATGAGGGAATGAAATACTGACACATACTAAAACATGGATGAACCTGAAAACATTATGCTAGGTGAAAAAAATCAATTACAAAAGACCTCATATGATTCCATTTATATGCAAGGTCTAGAATAGCAAATTTATAAACAAATAATCTATAGGAAGTAGACTGGAGTTGTCTAGGGATAGGAAAGATGAAGAGTTTTGTATGACTGGCAAGGATACAAGGTTTCTTTCTTGGAAGATAAAAATTCTAGAATTAGATTGTGGTAACAGCAGCATAACACTGTTAATATACTTAAAAACACTGTATGCTTTAAATGGGTGAATTATATATGAATTATATCTCAATAAAGAAGTTAACCCAAAATAGAGAAATGAAGACATTTTCAGACAAAGAGAATTTTTTTGCTAACAGAACTATACTACAGTAAGTGTGCAAAGAAGCTTTTGTGGCAGAAAGACTATGACACAGGAAAGAAACCTAGATGTAAATAAGGAAATAAACAGTTCTTAAAAGGGCATAAATAAATGGGGCTAGGGTCATAGCTCAGTGGTACAGCACTTGCCTTGCATGCATGAGGCCCTGGGTTCGATCGTCAGTACCACACAAAAATAAATAAATAAATAAAATTTGTATACATCTACAACTAAAAAAAAGTTTTTTTTAAAAAAAGGGCATAAATAAAGCAAAGTATAGAATTTCTAATTGTTTATTTTCATTGTTATAAAAGACAATCAACTATCAAAAGTAAAACAGTATCAACAGCTTATATGCTTATAAAAGGAAAATGTATAGTATAACAAAGGGGGATAAAAAGGAATTGGGTATATTCTATTGAAAAGTCTTTATACTACATGTGAAGATATATAACATATTTTCAAGGTGACTAAGTAAATACGTGTGCTATAAACCCTAGGGCAACCTCTTAATATTTTTTAAAAGATATAAATAATTAGCCAATAGCAGTGATGGCACATGCCTATAATCCCAGTGGCTTGGGAGGCTGAGGGAGGAGGATTCAAAGTTCAAAACCAGCCTCAGCGATGGTGAGACACTAAGCAACTCAGTGAGACTCTGTCTTCTAAATAAAATACAAAATAGGGCTGGGGATGTGGCTCAGTGGTCAAGTGCCTCTTAGTTCAATCCCCAGTACCACCCAAAAAAAATCAGCCAATAGCAGAAATAAAATGAAATCAAAATAATATTCAAAAAGTACAAAAGTGGGCAGAAAAAAAAAGTGAAACAAAAAAACAATATAAATAAACATCTTTCAAAAGGGTAAATTTTAATCCAACCACATCAATGTAATTATATTAAATGTAAATGGCCTAAACTCAAAAAACAAAAGAAATTATTTCACTGTATAAAAGAAAAACAGCATAATCCAATTAAATAAAAGATAAAACATACTTTGACTGTAAAGATGTAAAATTTACCAAGCAGATAACTACCAACAGGCATTAAGAACTTTGAGAGACCCTGTAATAAAATACAAAATAGGGCTGGGGATGTGGCTTAATGGTTGAGTGCCCCTAAATTCAATCCCTGGTACCCCCACACACACAAAAAAGTAACTATTACTAATAATTCTCAAGACTGAAAATAACTTGAGTACATTAAATAGATCTAACTATAAAGATTAATGTATTTAGAGATAACTGAGTGACATACAAACTTCCAACTAACCGTTCTAATGAAAAAAACAGCAACAGGTACCATTAATTATTTGAGGGTTACTACTAACTGAATCTCTAAATAAGTGTTACTATTTAGATAATAACTAAATTGATGAAGAAACTGGAAAACTGAAAGTAATGACTTGCCTAATATCTACATAGTAAGGAATAAATCAAGGATTTAAACCCACATGTGCCTAGCCCTGAACATCACATTTTTTATTTCAGCATTCTCCCTCTAACAAGATAATTGTATAAACTATAGATAATTGTATAAGCAATTTCTAAAATTAATAAATCCAGACTAAATAGGAAGCATAAGTATCCTTTTTTAAACAATTCTCTTTTCCTAATGAAAACAACGAGGAAAAAAGAAAAAGAAAAAAAAACTAGTACCAATTCAACCCCAAAATGAAAACATACGTGCAATTTTTCTTTTGGCCAAACACTTTGCTCTATTTGACTGTTTTATCTTCGTTTTCTGCAAGCCATTCTCCTCCTTTGGTTCCTGTTGCAAAACAAGAAAAATGATCAGGGTGGCTAAAATTAAAAGTAAAAATTTCTCTGTCTCCTGTACATCTCTTCATGGCTAAAAAAGGACTCTGAAGAATCAGTGACTGTTAAAAATGTGCATATAAGACATCAGAAGAAGTTTCTTTTGCAGTACAAAAAGGGAAACACACAATATCTGGAACCAATAAAACCATAAATATAAAAATATATAATATGGTGACATTATTATCTGTCACATACATAGTTAGGTAAAGATCAACCAATTTCCAAAATTACCAGTAGGCATCTACCCAAGATCAGAGAAACTTAATTCAAAGCTTAAAAACTAATAATAATGTTTAAATTCACTTCATACTAATTTATTTAAAATCACTCTTTAGAGTTAAAAACAAGAATCAACAAATGGGACTTACTCAAACTAAAAAGTTTTTTCTCAGCAAGAGAAACAATAAGAGAGGTAAATAGGGAGCCTACATCCTGGGAACAAATCTTTACTCCTCACACTTCAGATAGAGCCCTAATATCCAGAGTATACAAAGAACTCAAAAAATTAAGCAATAAGAAAACAAATAACCCAATCAACAAATGGGCCAAGGACCTGAACAGACACTTCTCAGAGGAGGACATACAATCAATCAACAAGTACATGAAAAAATGCTCACCATCTCTAGCAGTCAGAGAAATGCAAATCAAAACCACCCTAAGATACCATCTCACTCCAGTAAGATTAGCAGCCATTATGAAGTCAAACAACAACACGTGCTGGAGAGGATGTGGGGAAAAGGGTACACTTGTACATTGCTGGTGGGACTGCAAACTGGTGCAGCCAATTTGGAAAGCAGTATGGAGATTCCTGGGAAAGCTGGGAATGGAACCATCATTTGATCCAACTATTGCCCTTCTTAGACTATTCCCTGAAGACCTTAAAAGAGCATACTATAGGAATACTGCTACATTGATGTTCATAGCAGCACAATTCACAATAGCTAGACTGTGGAACCAACTTAGATGCCCTTCAATAGATGAATGGATTAAAAAAATGTGGCATTTATACACAATGAAGTCTTACTCAGCACTAAAAAATGACAAAATCATGGAATTTGCAGGGAAATGGATGGCATTAGAGCAGATTATGCTAAGTGAAGCTACCCAATCCCTAAAAAACAAATGCCAAATGTCTTCTTTGATATAAGGAGAGCAACTAAAAACAGAGGAGGGAGGAAGAGCATGAGAAAATGATTAACATTAAACAGGGACGAGAGGTGGAAGGGAAAGGGAGAGAGAAGGGAAATTGCATGGAAATGGAAGGAGACCCTCATTGTTATACAAAATTACATACAAGAGGAAGTGAGGGGAAAGGGAAAAAAAATCAAGGAAGAGAAATGAATTACAGTAGATGGGGTAGAGAGAGAAGATGGGAGGGGAGGGGAGGGGAGGGGAGGGGAGGTGGGATAGTAGAGGATAGGAAAGATAGCAGAATACAACAGTCACTAGTATGGCAATATGTAAAAACGTGGATGTGTAACCGATGTGATTCTGCAATCTGTATATGGGGTAAAAATGGGAGTTCATAACCCACTTGAATCAAATGTATGAAATATGATATGTCAAGAGCTTTGTAATGTTTTGAACAACCAATAAAAAAATAAAATTAAAAAAAAATAAATCACTCTTTAGCTACTGGGTAAGTAAAAGAAAAGAAAAAGAAGGTAAATAAATTCTGTAGAACTAAAACAGAACCAAATACACCTACTTCACTCCACCTAGCAGTTAACTAAGAGGCACTGAGGACCAAAAAATGAAAGACAAATAATAATGAGCCAAGAAAAATCAGCTTAAAAAGAATATAGACAAAGCTGATTGTGTGTGTGTGTGTGTGTGTGTGTTTTCCATATATGTAAAATTGGGATCTCTGAAGACGGAAACAAACAATAGAACAAACTAATACTAAAACTATAATCGAATAAATCGTTTCAAGGAAATGGAAGGCAGAGGAGTAAGACCAGGAATCTACACTTTGAAAGTACACACCATTCTCTTGGAAAGTTGACCTTGAATAATCAATTCCCAGACATGTACTGGGTAAATCCTAAAGATAAAGAAAAAAGACAAAAAGATATAATCACCGAACTGGGGTTGTGGCTCAGCGGTAGAGCACTTGCCTGGCATGTGTGAGGCCCTGGGTTTAAATCTCAGCACCACATATAAATAAATAAGATAAAGGTCCATCGCAACTAAAGAAAAAATCATTCTTAAAAAAAGGAAAATTAAATGAATATACCTAGTGTAGTATGCAACAATACAAAAAAGGCAATTATTTTAAAGAAACACAAGAAAAATTTTTAAACAAAGAATTTTTTCCATGTTTTTACTGGTGCATTATAATTGCACATAAAGGTGGGATTTGTTGTTACATGCATACAATATAACAATATGATTTGGCCAATATCACTTCCCTGCACTTCCTAAACAAAGGATTTTGTACCTAGCCAAAAACTCTTTCAGTTATCAAGACTGGAAAAACAACATCAAACATGCAAGAACTTGGGAAATGCTATCTTCATAAGTCCTTCTTGACAAATCTAACAAAGAATGAGCATCATTCAATCAAAAAATGATTACAGAATCACTAGCAAAAGAATCAACAATAAATATATTTAATTTTAGATATAAGACTAAAAAGTAGGGATAAAATATAAGAAAATATGTCAATATTTTTAATAATGTAGAAATGATACAATTAATTAATGAAAGATAGAAAATAAAATAAGTGCACTGACTACTGAATAGTCCATAAGTGTAAATCAAAGAACACCATTTAAAACTGACAAACCATGTAAACAGAAGATTAAATAAGAAAAAAGAGGCCAGGCATGGCAGCACACACCTGTAATCCCAGAGACTTGGGAGGCAGAGACAAGAGGTTTGTAAGTTCCAACTTAGGCTCAGCAACTTAGTGAGACCCTGTCTTAAAATAAAAACTAAAAATGGGTAGGGACACAGCTCAGGAAACCAAAGAACGGGATAAGACAGGACAGAAGACAGGTGACAGGAGAAAGGGGAAGGAAAAAGAAGGAAGAAGGGAAGGAGAAAGGGAGAGACAAGGGAATAAGGGCTAGGAATACACCTCAGTGACAAAGCTCTAGCACGTGTGTGGTCCTGGGTTTAATTCCCACACTGCAAAAAAAAAAAAAAGGGAATAACAGGAATTATGAAAGTCATATTATAAAGATGTTAGAATAAAAAATATATACTTTCCTAAATAACAAAAGATATGCCAAAAAATAGCCAAACACCCCACAAAGAATATAGAAAAAGAAATACAGTAAATATAACAGACTCTAACAAGATGCAACTCAAGATTATATACAAGAGATTCAGCAGTGATAAACTGATCCAAAATGTCTGACATGAAAAGGTCTAGAAGATAAGGGTAAATTGTCTAAATTTGAATCACTCCACATACCCTTCAGAAAAATCACAGACCTATAAAGACCACAGACAATACCAAACTTCAAATTACATGCAAGAAAGAAATGCAGGTTAAAAAAAAAAAGAAAGAAAGAAAGAAAAAAATGCAGGTAACAAATTTCATCAGCACTCCCACCAGTACTGCAAATCTGTGGGTACAAAGAACAGATAAAAAAGACTTAAAAGAGAGTCCATGAAAAATAATTACAATAGAGTAAAGAACCATAGACAAAATCAACTTTTTTAAAAGATGTAAAAGCCAGCCATGGTAGCATATGCACATAATCCCAGCTAAGAGTGGCAGAGGCAGAAGGATTCCAAGTTTGAAGCCAGCTTGGGCTACATAGTAAGACCCTGCCTCAAAAAAACAAAAACAAAAAAATCACCCTTAATGGGCTGGGGTGGTGGCTCAGAGGTACAGCGCTCGCCTAACATGCGAGAGGCACTGGGTTCGATCCTCAGCACCTCATAAATATAAAATAAATATATAGTGTCCATCTTTAATTAAAAAATAAATTTTAAAAAATCACCCTTAAAATTAAAAAGTCCAGGGATGGGGTTGTAGCTCCATGGTAAAGCACTTGCCTTTCATGCATGAGGCCCTGGGTTCGATCCTCAATACCACATAAAAATAAATAAGCAAAAATTAAGATATTGTGTCCATCTACAACTAAAAAAAATATTTTAAAAAAATTTAAAAGTCTTAGCTTGGCATAGTGGCAATGCTGTAATCCCAAAGACTCCAGAGGTTGAAGCAGGAGGATCCCAAGAACAAGGCCGGCCCGAGTAACTTGACAAGGCCCTAAGCAACTTGATGGGACCCTCTCTCAAAATAAAAAATAACTTAAAAAAGGGCTGAGGATATGGCTCAGTAGTTAAGTGCCCCTGTGTTCAATCATTGGTACCAAAAATACAATAAAATTTTAGAAAGTGCAAAATTAAGATCAAACATTGAACACAGGTTCAACATTTGGTACTTCATACCAACAGCTACATGAAAAGTCCAAGGCTGGGGATATGGCTCAAGTAGAAGCGCGCTTGCCTGGCATACATGAGGCACTGGGTTTGATTCTCAGCACCACATAAAAAAATAAATAAATAAAGATATTGTGTCCACCTAAAAAGCTAAAAAATAAATATTAAAAAAAAAAGTCCATAAAAGTAAGAACCAGAGTGGCAACCTCAGAGATTTACTGCTGTTAGATAAGGAGATAGAACCTGGAGGTGGAGGTCTGTAATGGAGCCCTTTGAGCATTTGCCTTGCTTGAAGCCCTTGGGTTCTGTCCCCAGCCTCACCAAAAAAAAAAAAAAAGGGGGGGGGGGGTGATGCCCCTCAGATTCACTGAAGGAAGAATAAGAGAAATAAAGACAAATGATCCTGAAGGAGAGGGGAAAAAACACACACACACACAAATGAGTTAATCTCTCCCCCAATATCACATCTATATCAACACCATCATTCATGAAAGAAACTGAGTTCACTGAAGTAAAGAAAAGAAAACTCTCTATTTCATCTATCCATTA